CTTTTCAGGCTGGGCTCACAGAAGGACAATTCACTCCTATCTTCCAAAAGGGCTGGAGTTCTCTTTCTAACAGTTATAAATACTAAGTTCCTTTATAAACACAATGTGCTTATATGGCTTTCCTTTTTCAAAAATGAACTTGATACCAACTATTACTAATGAAGCCCCTGGGGTGTCATCTCAAACAAGACTGTCGTCCAACAATCTATCCTAATTTACAGAATTTTTCCCTCGAAAAATCTTAAATCGCTTTCTATTCCAATGCATATCTTTTCCTTTCTGCCTCATGTTTTTTCAGTTGCTCAGAAAATGTTTTGCTTTTTCTCAGCAAAGCATAGTTTTTATAATATGACCTTGTAGGAATAAGTCCGCTCAGCTTAAAGAGTTCTCATTGCCATCTGGTGGACATCCATAGTATCTATTCAAACCCTATTCTAGATAGCTGTCTCCAGTCCCTCTGGAATAATAAATAATCTTCAATTTATTCTAGTTTAGGGTTGTGCCCAATAGCCGTTTGATATCAAACATTAGCTGTGGCTTACAACATCAGGCTTATTTTTACCATATGGTTCATTTTCTTTAATATTTTCTCCGTTTTCTCCTGTTTTTTTCTGCTTTTTGTTCAATCTGGTTTTTTATTTGGGAACACAGAAATGCTGGACCACTGTAACAACCACCATGTCAGACTATACAGAGAAGCCACTGAAATCCACAAGCATGTGGACAAGTATTTAAAAAACCCTCTAAAATCTGGACAGTAAATAAAGAACAACACTCAGAAAACAGGGGAATTCCAGACAGGAAAAAATCAGGGCCAGCTAACACCTCTGAAGAAAGGATTTTCCCCAGGCAGGAAGCAGCCAAGCTTTCTAGCTGCAAGGCCATTCAATGCTAGTCAAGATGGCCAATTGCAACATTCACACTTGCCTCAAACAGACAAGAGTTCTTTCTCCCACCCTGGACCTTATTCCACAGATATATAAAGCTCCCTTGCCTAGTTTCCAACAGACCTCACAACCTCTGAGGATGCCTTCTATAGATGTGGGTGAAACGTCAGGAGAGAATGCCCTGGAACATGGCCATACAGCCCAGAAAACTCAGAGCAACCCAGTGATTCCGGCCATGAAAGCCTTCAACAACACATTTTCTCGGCTGTGTTCCGATCAAAAAATCCTATATCTGGGACTCATTCTGTGCAAAATTTCCATGTGGCTTTTTGTACCAAAATCCACATGCTATTTCCTGAGCAGAAAATCACAGAAAAAGTCCCAACCTGCAAATATTACTGTCTGTCTGGGAGTATGTTTCCCAAAACTTCAGAAATAACTTTTTGGACATTTTAAAATATTTTTAATGTTACTACTCTTTTTCTTCTCTTTCCTTGTGCTTCCACACGGGCATTTCCTAACATTGATATTCATTCAGCCTTTTTTCCTGTTCATTCTACCTCTTATAAGAAGCCTTTTCCTATCTCAACATTTGGAGGGGTCCCAGAGGTGTTTAGAGGCCAGCTTCATCTCTCTTGGTTGGGAAAAAAAAGTGTGTCTGAAGGCAGTATTTCAAACTACAACATATTTTAAGATAGCTAACATTAATTGGGGCCGTGGTGGCACAGCAGGTTAAACTGCAGAACTTGCTGACTGGAAGGTCAGCGGTTCGAATATGTGGGACAGGGTGAGCTCCCCAGCTTCTGCCAACCTAGCCGTTTGAAAACATGCAAATGTGAGTAGATCAATAGGTACCGCTTTGGCAGGAAGGTAATGGTGCTCCATGCAGTCATACCAGCCACATGACCTAGGAGGCATCTATGGACAATGCCGGCTCTTTGGCTTAGAAATGGAGATGAGCACCACCCCCAGAGTCGAACTCGGCAGGGAAAACCTTTACCTTTAACATTAATTAATCCATTCTAAGAACTGTATAAATCTTGAGATACACACACTCCAGGGTCCCCTTAGTATCATGGTCTTGGAGCTATGGCAAAGGAACACATACACATTCTCTTTGAATAGAGTCAGTAGTTTTATATCCCATTTTTCCAAAAGAAATGCTCGAAGTGGTTTACACCAATTGTAAATGCAAGAACCTTATACTGGTCCAGCGAACCTAAGATTGAGTCAAATTCTGCTTTTGTTCCTCCGCCTTACACCCAGCATAAATACAACTCCTTAGTAATGTGCATTTAATAAAAGAGTCATATATTATTTAAATGTTGCAGTAGGCTTCTGCCAAGGCGGGTTTTCCATTGCCACCACATTTTAAAAGAATATGCAAAACCGCACTTAGCATTTGATTCTTACTCTTGTTTTGCCGATTACCAGCTTCAGTTGACCTTTTTGTCTCTTTCAAGTTTGTCATCTTTTTTGTTTTGTTAAAGCACAGTAGACAATTACCTATATATTAGACAAAAGTAGTAAGTGCTGTAGGGGAAAATAGTTAAGATGATTTTGAAACAAAGGAAATGGATTTAGGAGGTAAGCAGGTGCTTAATGGGAGTTGGAACAGCTGCACCTCGCAGGCACCGGCTTCGAAAGGTACTTCAAGGAAGAGTTTGATGACACTATTCACAGCTGGAGTAACATGTAATAATTAAATAAAAATACCTCCTGCAAATGGGGCAGCTGGATTCATTAGGACGCAAGCAGCTACAAAGAGATGCATGCAAATTTGTGGTCTGGCCTTCCATGTGTTCTGGGTGTGGGCAGAAGGCCCAAAGGAGAGGCATCCACCTGGGAAGCAAACCTCAGGCAGAGCAGCTATAAAGAGACATCCGTAAATAATGGACAAATGCCCCTGCCTTCTCTCTTCCTTCAGTACCCATTTGGCTCCCCCCTCTCTCTGTCACTGTCCTCCCATGTATGTCTGAATTTTCAAGTGTGATCCCATTAGCCAAATGGAGTGACCTGTCTGAAATGGATCTGGAATTTAAATAATTTCCATATCTTTATTTATGAATGGTGCCCAGCTTTTGGCCTACATCAGGGGTGTCAAACTCATTTACATGGGGGGCCACATCAGCCTTACAGTTGCCACCAAGAGGCTGTTGAGTCCATGGACAGAAAATTTATGAATACAGAGGGCCAAGTATATATATATATATATATGTGTGTATTTTAACATTGTAATCATGATGTCTAATGATGAGGAATACAGGAGTTGTAATCCAGCACCTGAAGGGCCACATAAAATGACATGGTGGGCCGGATTTGGCCCGCAAACCTTGAGTTTTGACACTTGTGACCTCTTTATTTATTTATAATATCAGGAGCGAACCAAGAGTACAGTTGTAATGTATTTTTAAAAAACACAAAGTTTAGAATCTTGGTATTATATTGACCAGTAGCTGGCCACTTGGAGTGCCTCTGGTATTTCTATAAGAAGGTCCTCCATTGTGCACATGGCAGGGCTCAGGTTGCATTGTAGTAGGTGGCCTGTGGTCTGCTCTTCTCCACACTCTCATGTTGTGGACTCCACTTTATGGCCCCATTTCATAAAATTGGCTCTGCATCTCATGGTACCAGAGCGCAGTCTGTTCAGAGCCTTCCAAGTCACCCAATCTTCTGTGTACCCAGGAGGCAGTCTCTCATTTGATATTAGCCATGGATTGAGGTTCCGGGTTTTAGCCTGCCACTTTTGGGCTCTCGCTTGCTGAGGTGTTCCTGCAAGTATCTCTGTAGATCTTAGAAAACTATTTCTTGATTTAAGGTGTTGGCTGATATCTAAACAGGGTGTGAGCTAGAGCTGTCACTGCCTTGGTCCTTTCATTGTTGGCTGCTACTTTCTGGCAGATGTCCGGTGGTGCAATACCGGCTAAACAGTGTTATTTCTCCAGTGGTGTAGGGCGCAGACATCCTGTGATAATGCGGCATGTCTCATTAAGAGCCACATCCAATGCTTTAGCATGATGAGATGTGTTCCACACTAGGCATGTGTACTCAGCAGCAGAGTAGCAAAGCTCAAGGGCTTGGGACCTACATGATCAGTTGATTCAGTTGGGTTGTAGATTTTGCACACTGGTTTCAGATGCTCTAGAAAGCCACTTCTGACCCTTAATACCACATTCCCATTTATTTATTTATTTATTTCATTTGGATCTACATCACAGCTGGTTGCAGGAGGGCTGGGAACTGTAATCCACAAATGTAACTTTGGGAAGTTCTGATCATAAATTTAATCAGACCTGCAACAAACCTGCTGAAATCCATGAGACCTAATATCCGTCATGATTAATTTGTCGCATGATTTCAGTGGGCTTATTATAAGTATGCCTAAATCTGGATTTAATTCAGAGGCTTTTCCCCTCTACTACACATGCTAATTTACTTAGTTCTTCCTCGAAGATGGTTTAATAATAAATTACTGACATTGATAGTGGTCACTATGCTTTTATAAGCTTTTATTGATTTGTCAGTAACCGCACTTGTGCCCCTTTATAGCTATGTTTGTATAGACATGTGTATGTATGTGTTCATGTAGAATATATACACAGTAGACTCCCAGTTAACCATCACCCATGGGGATGGGTCAATGCCAGATAAATGTAGTTTCTGGTTGCTTGAGTGTTACTATTAAAAATAGGCCTAACTAAATACTATACCCCATATTATACCAGTCAATAAGCTCTGCATTGACTCGTTATTAATATTGAAATACAGTGATTAAAAACCAATTAAGACAAAGACAAACTTAATGTAACACAGATTTACTGTATCATATTTGAGCTTTTTTGTTGCCAGTTGCTTGAGTGTTCCAGTTGCTTGAATTCCGCTTAACGGAGAGTCTGCTGTACTTGCACACAAGTGTTACATATGTGTGTGAGCACACGTGCACACATTCTTGCTACATGAAGATAGCTCTCCATGAATCTGATAAAGAGAAATATAGTTCATAATAAACGTGTTAGTCTTCTTATTTTTCTTGCGTTTGCTACTGCACGTTAACACAGCGACCCCTTGGAAATGGATAGAAATCTGAAATGTGGCTTGTATCTTCACTTTCAGGCTTTGAATTGCTCTACCAACCAGAGGTGGTACGGCTTTACCTGTCCATTCTCACAGAAAGTCAGAATTTCAACACTCTGGAAGCAGCAGCTGGTGCTTTGCAGAACCTCAGTGCTGGAAACTGGACAGTGAGTTACCTCTTTTCTTTTACTCTTCATATTATTTGGACTTATCTGTGGAAGATTCTTGAGTTTTTCTTTTTTTTTAAAGTCATCTTACATTATCAAAACATGCTTCAGACTTAGGGATCCTCCTCATGTTCTCCTATTTTGTTCCCCTGTACACATGCCTCCTTGCTTCTTCCCTCTGACCAGTGGTCTACCTACATCCGGGCAACTGTGCGAAAGGAGAGAGGCCTCCCGGTCCTTGTAGAGCTCCTGCAGTCAGATTCCGACAAGGTAGTGAGAGCTGTCTCTATCGCTCTGAGGAACCTCTCCATGGATCGTCGCAACAAGGACCTCATAGGTACGTTCTGAACAGTTCCACAAAGCTAGTCCCTAGAAGACATGCAGAGGAGCTGTTCGATGGATGGTTTAGATTTACACTGAAGTCTACAATTTTCCTAAACCCTACAGTCCAATAATGCTAAAAGCATGCTCTTGGATTTAAAGACAGTTCTTTCACATAGTAGCCCATTGCTGCCCACCTGAAACTTTCAGTCATCTGATTTAAGGAGGATAAAACCACCACCACCACCATCATCATCTCTGGTCCCAGCATACCATGGAGGACCTAGAGACTTTGAAAATTTCTGAGGTTCTCCAACCCAAAAGAAGTCTATCATAGAATTGCCTTGAGGGGATCTAGCAGGTGAATGGAACCCTGGATTTTGGTTATCCAGTTACAGAGATTTTATTGTATTAAAAAGAAGTTTGACCTTGAAAGATTTTAGTCCTGGTGAGAGCATTCTGAAGTCCCAATGCTATTAGGAAAAAGTTGTTGCACCCCAGCCAAAATTCACCGCACACTGACCGCCAATCAGGAATCCAAAAGCAGTAGTAAAACAGTTTATTGAGAAAAGTACATATAAAAAGGAAAAATCCCCATAAGATATAAGAGAGGCAAAATCCAATAGGTAATGGAGAAAAGCAGTCAACAAATAATAAGCCAAGCCAAACAAATTGGCAATGGGAAAAAATATTCCAAAGGCAATGATCCAAACAGTCCAAATCTGTTCCATAAAACCAGAATCAAAACATGAGCATAATCCAGGAAAACAAGAATCAAAACATGAACCCAAAACCAAGACTATAAAAACATCTTAAAAACATGAATCCAAACTCCCAAGATCTTAGACTAAAACATTAGCTTGAAACAAGACTCTAAATCCTCACTGTAATGCGTTGTTGCCTGATCTGAATTCTAAAGGAAACAATTCTCTTATTTAAGGGCCACAAGCCATGAAGTCATGTCTATGACCTTGACTCCCTTGCCTGTGAGATTTCTCACACTGTTGTTTCTCACGGAATCTCGGTGACCTCCTTAATTTGCTTGCTTCTTCCCTAATATGAAGCCTGAGATTCATGCTGACCGCAGGTGTGTTTTCAGATAAACTTTCTCGCCCATCCAACTCCTTATCTGGGGTTACTATGAGACAACTAGGCAAAAAGTCTTTGCCAGCCACTCCATCTCCCTGTCTGCTGGATTCTTAGGCAGTTTCACTTTCAAGCCCATTCTCCCAGACAGGAACAAAACTCTCCTCATTTCCCTCATTGAAAACCCCATCCACTTTCCCAGGTTCTGGAATAACAATCCCCTCATCTTCATCTGCTGGCTGAACAACAACAAAAATGTCCTCTTTCCTACCCTTCATAAATTCTTATGCTTGGTGCAATAACATGAAGTCGGCTTGCTGCCAATTGTAACCGATAGGCTGATCCATGTAGATGACTGTGTCCCGGGTCATAGACAAGCTTAAAGGTTACAACAAAATGTTAAGTTGTGCCCAGAATCAGTCAAGAAAACCTATCCCATTATTTGGCTACTATTGAAAATGTAGAAGTCCTTTGCTCTCCATTTCTAGCCATGTATGCTATATCCGTTAGTAATTACTTTCCCATCAAAAAAGTTTTATTTCAAGAGTCCAAAGTATTAAAACTAAAAGCAGCCTTAACCCTTTATCTTACTGAATGGCAAAAGGCCCACCTGGGGGTCTTAAGGCATCGTCTCTTGGAAGCACTTAAAATGCTACATAACATGAAAGTTTATGTGCACCTTGTTGAGCTGAGGCGCATCAGTTTTGTATCTGACCCTGCAGAACCATTCCGCATGTGCATGCATTAGCATTAATGTGTGATGTTAAGCAATGTGTCTCCTAGTGCCTGTTTGAAGCCATGAAGTATAAAATACGAGAGCCACAAAATCTGCCTTGCAGGATACAAGCACCTCTGCTTTGCCCTGTTGTGCAGAACAGGCTCACTTTGGGCAGTGATTTCTCATACACCTTCCCCTATCCCAAAATAAGAGTTTGAGGTTGAGGGAATGCGCACTTACAGCTGATTCGAGCCAAAACATTTTTAAAGATTTTGGATTTGCAAAGTAATTTTGTGCTTGGGTTTCCAGTGGGTTGAAGCTACACAGGACTTGAGTAGCCCTGGGACCTGAGTCTGTGAAAACTGGGGTAGGCCATATTGGTCTGGAAGGATTACATTTTCCCCACACCAGTCTCAATCAAGGGGAAACAATATGGCACCCTCTAGATCAGTTTCCCAAACTTACCTGACCTACTGCCCCCTTTTCAAGAAAAAAATTACTTGACGCTTCCCTGTAAATCTGTCTTTTTGTAGTGAACTAAAAGAAAGATATAGCGACAAATTTGCATTATTTTATGTATCTCTATTTCTACCTACATCCTACAATGTGGTAAAGAAGGATTTTGTTGTAAATAAGATACCTTGAAATTAGATAATTATTTGTTTAAATCAACCATAGTAATATTCTCATTACACCACAACACATTAAGATAACGAAGGATCATATTGAAATAAAAACTATGAAAACATTAAAAATAATCTTAAATGGGAAGGATGGATCTGGTGGACTGCTATCAATTTATTAATGTTCAGCTCTATTTTTGTCAACAGCTTGAATTGAAAACTGTAAATACTTACTGCATTTGCACTATTTTTAACCACTTGTCACACAATTCAGAACCAATCTAAATTAGATTTCATACATGTTGCCTATTGTGAACACATCATTGCATGCATATATCCCTGCTAATGCAGGCTGGACTTCTCAATAATGCATAACATGCTTACCTGCCCACACTTGCTTTTTAAGACCAGTCTGATGGCTTGACCACTGATCGGTTAAAACTTGAATTTTGTGTGTTTCATTTGGAAAACAATCACTACTATTTTAGCTTTATGTTACACAAGAGATGAAACATGTATGAACACGTTTTCAATTTTTTCTTCTCTTCTTCCTTTATGTTTCCACTGCCTCTTTATTTTTATTTGACATCCCCTAATTGTACCCCAGGCTACTTTTGCACTCCTGAATTGTCCCAGCACCTCCCCAGGGGTCAATACCTCACGCATTAGGAAGCACTGCTCTAGATGTTTTGGCCTACAGATTGACCCAGTCTTCACAATTAAGCAAGAGCAGGGATGCTAAACGTTATTTATTTATTTATTTATTTATTTATTTATTTATTTATTTGCGGTATTTGTATAGTGCCTTTCTCAGCCCGAAGGCGACTCAAGGCCATTTACAGTCAGCAACAATTTGATGCCCTGGCAGACATAGAATTACAGTTAAAACGTTTAGCATATAATATAAAAACCAATAAAAAAACATTGCATTCTAAACATTTGGGAAGCACCAGGTCAGCTGCTGTTAATCTAACCTCGTTTAATTTGTTAGTAGCTCTCTTGGGTGAAAAAATGTTTTTCTGTACTTTATTTTTATTTTTTAGTTATTTTATTTTTTTGCTGGAGATGTCTGAGAGTGAACCAGTGGCCTCTGTAGAAAGTAAGTGCTACCTTGTGCTGTGGCTCCATCACTTTCCTTGAGTACCAATCGGATTTGACTAATAGGAGCACTTTTGGACCTTCAGGTAGCTATGCCATGGGCGAGCTGGTAAGAAATTTGCCTAGCAGGCAGCAGAGATCATCGAAAAACTTGGAAGAGGATACCGTGGTTGCAGTCCTGAACACCATTCATGAAATCATTACCGACAGCTCCGAAAATGCCAGGTCCTTGATCCAGACGCAAGGCATTCAGAAGCTAATTGCTATCAGCAAATCGAGGTTAGTTTTCCACTCTTGCTTAATGCAAGGAAGTAAAGATATAGAAAATAGCTTCATGGGACTTCAGACTATTTGTTCATTTGGCCCAGCATTGTCTGCTCTGACTGGTAGAGGTTCTCTTGGGTTTCAAGTGGTGGTCTTGCTCATCACAGCACCCATGATGTTGGAAGAAGCAGATTTTGAATTACAGGGTGGCTGCATGTGTGTTAACTTCTGCCAAAATCAAGCATGAATGAGACCGTCCTTTTTTTTCTCTTACCCTCTTTCCTCTGTCTCCTTCTTCTTTTGTGGGTTTCCAGGGAAGAATACATAGGTGCTTATTCTTTTGAAAGTAGGCCACTGGCTTAAAGCTGCAGGTTGTGCATTCCTCCTATACAAGATTGACATCTCAGTTGAAAAGGACTCTCTTGGTCCCAAACTCCTTTCCCAGCCAGAAAAGAACTTTCGGGCAATGATGCTTGGTTTGCACATGAGCTTTCGCTATCAAGATCTCTGAAGGAAGAAATTTAAAAAGCACAGCAACATCATAACAACAGCCTTTTGCTTTAGAGGCCACCCGCCAACCTTGTCTTTTAGGTGCAAAATTGAAGTTCTTAAAGGACATGCCAAACCTCTGTATCATAAATCAGTGTCTTTAATAGGTTGAGTTGACTTGAGAGGCAAGATCAATAGAATGCAACGATCAGTCATCTTGGGACAGGGTCCCTTGACGCCTGCTCTATTCCTGAGCATCCGACACACATTTATCATGCATCATCATTTAAGGAAATCGAGGCATTTATTGGCAGACAGGGAGATGTTTGTCCTTTTTCTGCATTCCATTATATTGGTGGCAACGTTCTGGCTGTTACCAGAATAAACTGGCCGACATTCAGACGATTCTAAGGAGATGGGTGATGATCTCAAATGAATCTCCTTTGAGCCATTACAGAGTTGGAGAGAGGCTGCTTTCTCTGTGCATACTTTGTGAGGCAGGCTTTTATCTGCATACTCTCCAAGCTCTGTCACTAACAGGTTACTTCATTAGTTGTATGCAAATATTCCAAAATCTAAAAAAAAATAAGAGGGATCTCGAAAGATTTCTGCACTTTCATTTCTTCCCCTCTGCCAGTTGCTTAGCCCCCCCCCCCCCAAAAAAAATATCTGGTACACACTTTACTGAACTTAAGGCTATCACAAATCAGGGCACAGGCAGTTCCAATATTCACATTCAGGTTTCCCGCAACCTCTTCAACTGTAATTCTTCGGTTTTTGCAAATCACTTCCAAGGTTCTTTTGTTCTTCATCCCTATAGCTGGATATCCAGAGTTCTCTGCATCCGTCACACTCATAGTATGGCAATTTTCAAACATTTCAATCCACTCATAAACGACTCTACAAAAGAGAACTTTGTCCCTTACTGAGCATACCTGCAGAGATGGATCTGCACTCCCGGCACACCTTCTGCCCAAAAAAAGCATATGAGAGAACGCTGTTTCTCTCAGGTGTCATTTATAAGTTTCGCAGCCATCTTCGCCACAGCGTGACAACTCTTAGACTACACTGTAAGGCCAGCTTGCTTGCCAGACAGATTAGTCACAGGACATTCTCAGGCACGACCAATTACTCCTCCTTCCACCCTCACCATTTCCACTGAAAATATAAACGTGGAAATATAAACGTGGAAGCCTTCTCAGTGATTGCCCCCCCCCCCCGGGTGTGGCACTCCCTTCCTGGCAATATTAGATCAGCCCCCTCCCTCCTGTCCTTCAGAAGGATGGTGAAGACCTGGCTGTGGGACCAAGCTTTTGGGGTAATGCAATGAGGCAAAATGGTGTCCTGAGATGGTTTTTAAGTAACTTTGAATGTAGATGTAAGTGATTTTAATGTTTGTATGTATTTATGGTTTTATGTCCTAGCATTGAATGTTTGCCGTATATATGTTGCTGTATATATGTTCTGCCCTTCTCACAAATAAATATTTTTAAAATATGGATCTCTCTGGTGTCATATAGTTTGGATAAAGGATGTTCACCCATACTGTCTCTGAACAGTAGCTTCTTCCATCGAAAACCATTGCTTTAATGGGTGTTTTGTCTGAAAGTTGATACAGAAATGTAGACAATTAACAAAGGAATTCAATATTGGCAGAAATGTATGGTTTGTGAGACTCCTGGGAATTTTGCTAGTTTGCACACCCAATTTAGCAATGCTAGGTTCAGATTTGCCCTTCAAAACTTCTGAATGCACATAGTCAACTTTTCTGAACCAGCTGATCCTGATCATCACAATGACCATAAGTGAATGTATCATGTGGTGAGCATCCTCATGGGAACGGACCTTAAAAACATGTCTTCAGAAGTACTTTTGCGAAATAATGGCCAGCCAGCTCTCCCATAACATTTGTTATGAGTTAAACTGTCTGCTGGATCAAATACCTGAATACATCTGATTTGTAATGCTTGCTTTTTGTATGTTTCTCCTTGCATCCTCTCCTCCCTAATTCCAAAAGCAGCCAGTCCTCCAGGGAAACCAAGGCAGCCTCTCATGTCCTTCAGATGACCTGGAGTTACAAAGAGCTGCGGAGTGTTTTGCAGAAGGAAGGCTGGAGCAAATCCCATTTCCAGGTGAAGAGAAAGCAGGCTTCTAATTGAGAATTGTAACCAGAGAAAGCCAAAATTTAGTTCATTTTGGCCTCCACTAGTGATGCTTAGGAAGCATACAAACTTGTTTTCAATTTCCACTACAACAAATCCAGGTACTATTTTAAGAAAAGTCAGATTTGGGTAAACACACAATTAGCTTTGATGAAATACTTTCTTTTTTATATATCATTGCATGTTAGAGACAAGGATATTTTTGGAATTGGGGAGCAGCCCAGAGATTGGTGTTAGCAAAGTTAATAGGATATGAGAAGACAGAGAACAAGAGAAACTACTTAGCTGTGATTGTATACATTTATATCCTGCTTTCCCATTAAATATGTGCTTCTCACTAGAGTCTTAGAGGTGTCTCCTCAGAAGTAATTCCTGTTGAGCTCCAAAAATTGCAACCTCCAGTAGTTTATAGAGCTCCAAAAGTTAGAGGAAAAGATACTTTACACAAATCAAAGTGGGGACAACTCTTGAAAATAGTCCAGTGGATCCATCACAATCTGGTTTCAGGCCTGGTTACAGAACTGAAACAGCATTGGTCGCCTTGGTGGATGATCTATGAAGAGAGCTAGACAAGGGAGAGCTGGTTCTCCTGGACCTCTCAGCAGCTTTCAAAGTGACTTGCAGTTTCTCAAGTCATTTCTGACACAATAAAAATACATTGATCATGGAATCCTTCTGGGCAGTCTCTCTGGGATGGGGCTTGGGGGCACTGTTCAGCAGTAGCTCCAGTCCTTCCTGGAGGGGTGGACCCAGAAGGTGGAGCTGGGGGACTCCTGTTTGACTCCATCAGGGTTTACTTCTGTCCCCCATGCTGTTTAACATTTAAATGAAACTGCTGGGAGAAATCATCCGGAGTTTTGAAGTTGGGTGCCAAATTAATGCAGATGATACCCAACTTTATTACTTCTTTCCACCAAAAGCCAAGGACACTGTTCTGATCCTGAACTAGTGCCTATCATCAGTGATGGACTGGATGAAGGCCAACAAGCTGAAACTAAATCCAGACAAGACAGAGGTACTCCTGGTCAGTCGAAAGCCAGCACAGGATATTAGTTGCAACCTGTGCTGGACAGGGTCACACTCCCCCTGAAGGCACAGGTTTGCAGTCTGGGGGTGATCCTGGACTCATTGCTGACCCTGGAACCTCAGGTGTTGGCTGTGGCCCGGAGCACCTTCACACAGTTAAAACTTGTATGCCAGCTGCGCCCATCCCTTCAGATGCCAGACGTGGCCATTGTAGTTCACACCTAGTTTGGACTACTGCAACACTCTCTAAGTGGAACTGCTTTAGAAGATAGTTCGGAAGCTACAGTTAGTCCAAAGATCGGCAGCCAGGTTACTAACTGGGGCTCCACACAGGGAGAGAACCACTCCCATGTTATGGCAGTTCCACTGGCTGCTGGTCTGCTTCCAGGCTAAATACAAAGTGCGGGTCATTACCTATAAAGCGCTAAACAGTTCGCCTATTTGTCCAACCACATCTCCCTATATAGAGCATCTTGTGCACTGTGGTCAGCAGAAGAGGCCCTGCTCTCAGTCCCACCCCTGTCACAAGTGCAGTTGGTGGGGACGAAAGAGGGAGCCATCTCCATGATCAGCTCCCCACCTCTAGAACTCCCTTCCTATAGAAATAAAAGTGCCCCCACCCCCCTCTTCTTCAGAAAACTTCTGAAAACACACGTATACATCTTAGCATATGGAGAGGAGGAGGACTAACATGTAGCACTTTATGGCTGCTGGGATGTATTTCAAATTACAACTCAGGTCAGGCACTGTTTACATAGTCGTTTAATTGTCTAGGGTATATGATTTTTGTGCAGTTATGTTTTATTAGTGAAATGATGTTCTGTTTTAGCATCTATATTTTTATTACTTTATTTCAATTCTCATTTGGTTGTAAGTCTGTGGTCTATTTTACATTTTTAATATTTTGTGATGGTAATTGTGGCATAGAATGTTTGCCTTTTTATATGTATGTAAACCGCCCTGAGTCCCCTCGCAGAGAGAGGGTGGTCTAGAAATAAATTATTATTTTACTGACACAAAAACACAGTATGTCACAGCAAACAAGATCTATATGTTGGATTTCGTATCACAAAATCACAAGTCAAACACTTCCCAAGTGTCTAGGACTGTGTGATGTATTTTCGAATGATGCGCACAGATCCAAGTAAGGTGGCTTTTTGCAGTTGACAGATCGTGATTTTGTTAATGTTTATTGTTTCCAAATGCTGGCTTTTGGCACAACACCCAGTGTGCCAATGACCACCGGGACTACCTGTACTGGTTTATGCCAGAGCCTTTGCAGTTCAATTTTGAGATCCTGATAACAGCTGAGTTTTTCCTGTTGTTTTTCCTCAATACGACTGTCACCCGGCATTATTATTATTATTATTATTATTATTATTATTATTATTATTATTATTGTGAAGACTGAGGATGCTCCGAAGATTCTTCCTTGCCTCACTTTGAGAACACTTAACAATCAGGAGTTTGGGATTTCACATTGAAAATCTTAAATGCAACCAATAAAATAGTTAGTATACGAGAAGATTAGTATAAAAATACCACTCTTTGGAGCTGGGTAATTTAACTCATTCTAGCCTGTAGTATCCCTGAGGAAGGCAACAGTGTCAGGAAGTTTATGCAGGAATCCTCAGACGAGGAGAAGATGAACCACAACATTTCATTGACAAATTCTTGGAAGTCGTACGAAAAGTCAAGGAAACACTGCACCAATAATAATGACTAATGAATAGGGCCCAAGTCCCAAATGTCAAAAGGTTCATTCATTCATTCATTTACCTTTATACCTCACATTTCATACAACAAGCTAAAGTAGTATACATTATTTCCTTCTTTCGACATTATTATTACACTATGTAACACGATTTTTGTTCCTGGCTTATAAATGTCATTTCCAAATTTGGTTTTTTTTGTTTGTTTGTTTGTTTTTTGTGGTACCCCCTGCAGCACAATTTGCTATGGTTTTTCAATGAATGTCTCATTGAATCTCAACCATTTCAACATAGTTTATGGTAGCTACATAAACAAAGTTTCTGGAAGATAACAACTACTTCCAAAGTAAGTACCATATAATTAGAGAGGAAATAACACTTTCAAACCAGAAACAGAAGATTTGTAAAGTGTTTTTGTTGTTGTTACCTGCCTATTATTATTATTACCTGCCTCTTCTCACAGCTTAAGGTGGGGGACAGCATGGTTAAAACACATAATTCAATAAAAATATTTTAAATATATTTTAAAATATATTAACATACATGGAACAGAGATTAAAATACAATAATAGAATTTAAATTTAATATTAACTGTTTCAAATTAATTAGATGATTAGGCTGAAATAGCAATTGTTCATTGATAACGGTGCATCTACACTGTAGAATTAATTCAGTTTGATACTACCTGAAATGCCATGGCTCAATGCTATAGAATCCTGGGATTTGTAGTTTCATAAATTCTTTAGTTTTCTTTGCCAAAGAGGGCTAGGGCCTCACCCTGCTGCAGCTCCAATAATTCCATAGCATTGAGCCACGGCACTTAAAGTGGTGTCAAACTGCAGTCATTCTACAGTGTGGATTCAGCCTCAGTCAGCTTTGTGGCCCAGTAGAGAGAGGTGACCCTAGGTCTCCAAAGTCCCAGTCCAACAATCACTACACCAAACTGGGTCTCCAAGTTGTTACAACCATGCAAAGATAATTTTAGTAGCAACCATTCATAAATGTCTGTTGCCATGCCATGATTCTCTAGCATCTTTCCAGCAACCCCTTAGAGCACATCTTTCATACACCACTCTTGAAAAATAAGATTCCTGCATGCCGACCTAAGGCTGAGCAGCATCATGCTGAAATAGGAAATATAATGTAGATTGTTTTTCTTGTAATGAGTTTTTTGTGATGCTTTTGAGAAGTGGATTTTGCTTTCTGCTCGCCTTCCTGTAAGTTGCTGACTCTGGCTTTTCTCCCCCTTTTTCTATCCTAGTCTGGCTCTGCTACTCCTAAGGGATCCAAAGGTACCTCTTGCAAATCAGGCTACGATGACAGCACTCTGCCTCTTGTGGATAAAAGTCAAGGTCAGTCAGTCCTTGCACAAAGAGCCATTGCCTATGGGTTTGCATTTACAAAAAAGCTGCGGGGACCCGGGATGGATTGGAGCTGGTTTGGGAACCGCCCTCCCTCCATACACGCACTTCACTCACAAAAACATGTTCACACTCACACAAAAGGCCACTGCTTAGTAAAGGAAAAGAGGTACAAAAGGGCAAACCGCATGAATGAATGTTGCTCTAGGTTCATCCTGGAAACCAGGACAGCATTCAGGTGGCATTGGTTCCCTGGCTGTACAGCAGGGCTGTCAAACTCATTGTGATGGAGTTTGACAGCCTTGTGTTTGCCTTCAAAGGGCCGTTGAATCCATGGCTAGACCATCTGGGGACACAGATAGAGGGCCACCTATAATGTTTTTGTTTTTTTACATAGTGGTTGGTGCAATTTACGTTTTGCCCAGTCTGGGTCCCCAGATGTTATTGAAGACAACTCCCATCACTTTTGATGATCTGCCATGTGGACTGGGGATGATGGGAACTGCAACCCAATAGCCCTTGTGGCCCTGAGGCTGGGGAAAGGTTAAAGGAGGTTTTAAAATCAGGCATCACATCCACAAGTCTTGGATCTCATTCCTCTGACTGAACAAACAAATGGCAGCCTCCCAGATGTCATCCCTAGTCATGACTTCTAGTGTTGAGGAATTCAGGAGCTGGAGTCCAGCATCTGGGGGGGGGGGGGGAGGACATAAAAGGGGGCTGGATCTGCCCTACAGGCCTTGACTTTGACACACATGCTATAGATATTTTGACCTACAGATTGAATCAGCCTTTACAATTAAACAGCAGCAGGGATGCTAAAAGTTGTATTCTAAATCACCTGGTAGGCACCGGGTTAACTACTACTGATTTGATCCCATTCAGCGCTTTGTTAGTGGAAGGTACATTTGTATGTAAATAGGGTTGCAGCTACGCTGTAGAACACTGGTTCCCACCCTGTGGTCCATGCACCACTACTGGTCCTGGAGAATTAAAATATGGTCCGCGAAGCAAAGACCTTGTAAGATACAACTCCCAGGATGCCATCGCACTGAGCTAGGTGAATTCAATTTCATAGTGCAATGCAACCTGTGTATAGCCAAAAGTATCCTGGTTTACCGTGGCTGACTTTATAACAGTGGTTTCCAACCTGTGTTCTGTGGATCATCAGTGGTCCACAAGAACTAAAATATGGTTGGCGGCCTCACCGTTACTACACCATTGCAACACCCCATGGACCACGCTCCCTTCCTTGTGGCCATGCGCCCGTGGCAAGGAGGTTAGAGAAAGCTATTAGGGATGTTTTCTTGGGTCTCACATTCTGCTTTTTGTATTTTTTAAAACCTCAGCCCCCTCCCCTTCTTTCTTTTTTTTTTACACAAGCGTTAACAAAATCCACAGATAATTACACAACCCAACAAAAACGTTTTTTTCTTAGTGTCTTCATTTTTAGGACTGTTCCTAGGGTTATTTGGATAGACCCCATCAGCTCTAGATTATTAAATGTGGTTTTCGGTGGGCAAGCAGATGGTGACTACTGGATAGCATATGCTCTCTATCAGAAACTAGAGCTAATGTGATCTATCCAATGCAATTTTCTGAATCCACATCCCAAATAACTAAACCGAATCTGAAGTTGACCAAAACTGATTAATAATCCTTTTGATATTAATGTTGGAGAGTGGTCCCTGGTCAAAGTGGTCCCTGGTCCAAAAAAAAAAGTTGGAAACACTGCGGTAGAATGAATGTGACTTGGCACCATTTAGCTGTCATGGCTCAATGCTGTGGATTCATGGGAGCTGTAGATTTACAAGATTTTTGCCTTCTCTGCCAAAGAATCCTGGGCGGGGTGGGTGAATCACCAAACTGCAAAATGTGGGATTGCATAGCATTGAGCCATGGCCATTGAAATGATATCAAGCTGCATTAATTCTACAGTGTAGATGCAGCCTAAGAGGGCAAGGCTGAAAAGGCAAAGAAGGAAAAGAGACAGATGCGAAGGCAAGGGAATGGGGGGAAAGAAGGCCTCCAAATGGCACTGACCCCATTCTGCTATCCTGAACTAAAGAGTATCTTGACTATTTCATGATTGACTCACAAGCCTTGTATCTCCATTCAGACCCCACTGTCTTGACTAAACAGAACTGCAGCCTTGCAGTTGTGGCCATATCACAATTCCCATCAGCTCTAGTCATGAAGTCTAACAGAAGTCAGAGTCCAGCAACTGAGGGCCCCATAAAATAACAAAGAGGGGCAGATTTGGCCCACAGGCCTTCACTATGACACGTGTAGTCTGGTCAATAGTAGAAACCGCATTTAAGTCAAAGAATTAGTTATTTTAATTTTGGAACTCTAATAGTATGTATCTCTTGGGGTGGCAGGAGCCTTGAAATTATAACTACTTTTTAAAGTAACCTTCCAAACTATGGGTCTGGCCTGCCTCTCGCACAGAATTATGGCTTAATTTCTCTCTCTGCTATAGATAATGAGAAGACCGGAAGTCGGGATATGATTCCTATGGACGAACTCGGTCCAGGTAAATGCAACTGTGAATCAGCCACCCTGTTGACCTCAATAGCGAATGCTGTCACTCAGAAGGGAATTCAGCTTGTTCTTTGGGAGAAGTTCTTTCAAGCATATGTGAAGCTGACATTTAGAGCAGAACTTTTCTTTCCAAGGGATCGATAGTCTTTAACTGCACAACCCTATGCATGCGTTCTCATTGAGTTCAATAGGACGTACTCTTACACCCAGGTAAGTGGGCATAGGGTCTCAACTTGCATGTGTGTATCCAGTGCAGACAGACGTACACACATATATGCACATACATTCATGCACAGGCATATATACATCCATACATATGCATATGGAGGGAGAGAGGTCAATAAAGCATGGTTACTTAACTGAGTTTGGGTTTTATGGCCTCATACTTTTGAATGTTTCCAGTGATGTAGCCTCATTCCAGGCCAGCTTCACCCAATCTGGTGTCATCCAGAGGTCTTGGACTACCCATCATTTACTGGCTGGAAAACCTCCTGTCATTTGTACCTTGACATCAAAATTTAGCAACCTTTTGTGTCTGTAAAAGAAAGGGAAATGTAGACCCCCTCCCTCACCCAAATCTGTTACCTGAGCCGTTGTGGTGTGGATTTCTGAATGGTTTGATTCTGAATGTTTTGAATCTTTTGATTCAGATACAAATAGCCCTGGTGGAAGGCGAAATCTGAGGCTTTTCTTGTTGCGATGAGGCCACAGATGGCCAGTGCATGCTTTGCATGCAAAAGGTTCCAGGTTCAATCCCTGGCATCTCCAGATAGGACTAGGCAAGACTCCTGTCTGAAATCCCGTGACGCGACTCAGCAGTGTGTCCTTAGCGGTAAAGTGGCTCAGAATCTGTGGGTAAGGATGGAAACTAAACACACCAACACACATTGCTGGAGCGAGAAGGTGGCCACAGCTTGATCGGTTACAGCTGAAGGTCCTTAGCACAGAACAGATCCAACCCACCTGCCAAACATTAGTCCACTTTGGGGAAAATGATGGGATGAGAATATAGGGAACTCCACTGCATCATTCCTCTATCATGTGGAAGTTTAGTAGGCTGAGCTGCCTAACTTTGGCATAGTTCTGGCAACTTTTATTCCCAGTATTCTCTAAGATCCTAAAAGCATACTTTGCTGTCCAAAATTGGATGTGGCGCAATGTACTCATAGAAGAGGTGCAGTACCAAGTCCATTGGAGCTATGCAAGGAAGGCAGGGTGGATTGTTCTATTAAAAATTAAAGTGGTATGGTGTGGCCAGAATGAATGATACCCTTGTAAACCAGAGTGGAAAATTCTGCTCTCAGTAAGTGTGGAAGCGGCTACCGATTGACTGAGCCATCCAGTTGCTGATTGGCTCAGCTGGTGGAGAATGAGTGATCAACAGTTAATGCAACCCACATGGCTGCTGGAGAAGCTGCTTTGAGGCAAGTTGTTGTGAACTAGGGACCTCACATCTCTTGGCTTCAAGCCGATGAGGCCCAAACAAATTAAGTGGGATTTGTGCTAAAACAGGTTCTTATGTTCCTTCCTGAAAGTTCTACTTCTGTATCTAATCAACATGCAAGGGGGAAAGCAAGGATGAGAGTTCAGTCCTCATCTCATTTTTCTTTAAACTAAAATGAAAGATCTCTCCAGCAGGGAACTTTCTTGTGAAGATGACCCATTTGAGTCTGGACCCAGAAAATCTGAGTTTCTATTATTATTATTATTATTATTATTATTATTATTATTATTATTATTATTATTATTGTCCTGCTTGATTGCTCTTAAAAAGAGACCCAAAGTGATTAACAATAACAGCAACACAATGTATAATGTAAAACCTAAAAAACATACTACAACAACTGCAATAGAATTAAACATTGACACTATTTAAAACAAACAGAATAACAATTTTGCCTGCCACTCATCCAGTGTGATAAGGGGATGGTGGAAATGGCTCTAATTTCTGTGTTCTCCCATTTGCCTGTTGAATTGGATATTGATCTGGAATGCTTGAAAGGGGCTTCTATGGTGGCAAACCAAACATTTGAGTGTTGCGTAGATGTGTTTGGAATACATGCCATTATAAATAAATAAATAAATAAATAAATAGAAAACATTGGCTTGTTTTTCATACCCCCTCACTTCAAACCTTTGTTCCAATGTGTTCTTTGTTTAAGGGGAGGCTGCAGCATACATGCTCTGAATGGGAAAGGAGTAACTTCAAATGGAATGACACTACCAGGTGGCCATGTACTTTCTGACAGTGTGCACTTTAAGAAAAGATACCATGCCTAGAAGATGTCATTATTCCATTCTGAGAGTACAATGTAGAACTTTTGCTATCACTCGATGCATATTGTAGGCTTAAGGAAGACTTTTAGATGGGAAGCCTGGAAGAAATGTGGTTATTAATGGAGTGGCTGCATACGATTGGATTCAAGCCGCTATCTACTCCTTAGGTTCCAGAGACTAGAAGATTGAGAACCTGGTATACTTTTTAGATCTTTGAATCACATATTGGTTCAGTCAGTATCTTAAGAACAGGGTGGAACCTGTTTCCTGATAGCTATCTCATCTGTCCTCCAAAAGATAGAAGGCTTTTAGATTAGAGCCTCTGCCAAAGATCTCATAGTATGACAGGTTATCTTTCTTGTGACCTTATGAGCTTGTGACTACTCCTTTGGTCATGTGGGCTGTTGGGGATGCTGTTCTCATTGTATCATATAAGATAGCAGTGGAAGATACAAAGCCCTACCAGCTTTGATGTTATTGTGTAAAGATTTGTCTCCCCCTTGAACAAAACGTAGAGTGAGCAGTGATTTCGTGCCACGTGGCTGTTGACATTACAATGTCCTTATGGCCGATGTCATTCCCCTGCAGATGGCTACTCCACCATTGATCACCGTGAAAAGGAGCGCAAGTACAAGGCTAACGACAACATGGGAGATGCATCCGAGAAGGAACCACTGAAAGTAAGCAGGTCTTACCACTAGCAAGCAACACCTCCCACAACCTTGGTTTACAGCAGTGGTGTCAAGCTTGTGTCCCTCCATGTGTTTTGGACTTCAGCTCCCAGAATTCCTGGCCATTGGACAAGCTGGCAAGGGCTTCTGGGAGGACCACAAGTTTGACACCTCTAGTTTATGGGTATAAATGACACAGGCTCATTTTTATGGGAAGAAACAGTGTGGCTAGCAGACAGTATCATACTGTTACATTTGTCTTCTCTGTTGCTGGCAATGTGAGTAACACAAAAGGCCAGTGTTTTCATCTTGTTCTTTTCTACTGAGGGCCGCTTGCTTTTTCCCCCATTTGTCGAGGGTGGAAATCAACCCTCAGGAGCCTTCTCTCTGTATAAATAATCCTCACCCTTGGTTTCTGTGTTGGTGCTGCCTGTCATTTTCATCAGCTGCCAAGCTCAAGGGTTCTTGGGGTGTCTCCCCAAAGTTGTTCCTGTGCATCTACCCACTCCCCTGGATGCAAAGATAGTTACCTCTTAAAAGATTATTTCTCTGCTATGTAAAAAGAGAGACTCAGATTTTCAAGCAGAGGGGATTTTCAGTAATTGCTCTGCCTTCCGCACCCCACAGCTTGTGAGGCAGGGATCTCTGGTACTCCAAGATCCCACAGCGTCATCTCATTTTCTCAGCATCACCCTTCATCCTGGGATGTCACTTTCCTAGAGATGATTAGAAGACGATTGAAAAGGGAAGAAAACCCAAGGCACCAGGAAAACTCACACTAATAGGCCACTTTTCCTGGCAGGCTTCTCTGTCTGAGGTCATGCCAGCACCAGCAATAGCCATTAGGTATGCTGGCTGGGAATATTCAAGCAGCTGGAGTTGAAAACAAAAAGCACACTTCTCTTTCTGCTTTGGTTTTCTTGCTTACCATTCTTTCACCTAAAACTAGCCCCAACTCCACAGGTTATAGCTGTGCAGGAAACTTGGTTCTAACAATCATCTCTTCTCCCTTGGGCTTTCCATGCTGGTGAAACACAGAGAGTGTGCAAATGTTTGTGCTTGTAGTCAATAGCCAAGACTGTGTTCAGATTCAGTCACTTTGTCCAGTGTCCTGTTCATCTGCCTGCCTCATAAATATAATCTATTGTCTTGTGATTACACTCTTGGGGACAAATCCGATAAGTCGAGTGCTTTATTTAGCTGGGCCTGTGCCCAAGAGTTTCCAAGCACTGGTGTGACTGTGACATACTGCCCTCTTTACCCCCTGTTCTGCTTTACTTATGCCATTGCACTAAGCAGAATGGTCAGTGGACGAGGACTGTAGCATCACATGCATGATGATCCCTCAGTGACCCTTAAAGCTGGCCCTGTCACCAGGAAGCCATTGAAGGTGACGTCTGGTTGCTTCATTTGACTTACCCTTCATCTGTTCCTCAGCAACAAGTGCCAGGAAACTACAGCCTCCTGCAACTTCCAGGTCTTGTGTTAGCCATGAAAAATCTGGCTAGAATCAGTCAGTGCTTCAGAGTTAGTCTGAAGAGGACATGACGCGTGACTAGCTGGTAGAACTATATGGATTTGACCCTGAGCACAATAATTATTGCATCCTTAGGCACCCTGAGCTCTTCAGAAAAATATTGCAAATGTAATAATTGTAGTGTTAGCCATGTGGCTATTCAAAACAACTACTTGTTATGGTTCATAGCCAGCCTTTTAATTTCCCACAGTGGCTCATAAGAAGGGCTGGTCAGTTGCCCTGTGAGAAGTTTAAAGTACAGTTAGATCCACTCAGTTGACACTACTCAGACTTCAGTGACAGGTTGGTAGTATTGAAAGGGTAGACCTTAGCATTACAGACATCGGTGACAGGCCTTGGCAGGACTCTGAAGGTGCCAGCTACGGGTAGCAGTGCTTTTCCTCCTAGCATTCCAGAGCAGATCTTGACCAAATGCCAGTCATGGAGCTGTGTGGTGTTGATGTGTCAGCTTCTGTTTGTTCCCTGGGCATATCCTGCTGAATGACTACTGTAACATCTCCTAGACAACTAACCTGTCCTGTGGGCCAAGTGATGTGCCAGCATTCTCTTCCAAGCAATATACCTAGGCTTGCTTACTTAATGTTAACTCATAATTGTTGCTTTGAGAACCTGAAACTGTAATGGTGCTATGGGGGAATCTGATTGTGGGGGCCAGAATGCCTGCCGATGCTTGCAGTCCGTGGGCCAGATGGGCATTGATGTGAGGCCTTGACCCAAATCTTCCCCCTGCTCTTGTGCCTCCTGATTTCCTCTCCCTGGTATTAGGGGGTGTACTACCACCATCATCTCAACTATAAAATGTGTGTTGAATTGGAGTGCTCACAATCCATGGGCTCAGCTGCTATTAGTGACAGATGCGCTGCTCCATCCAGCGTGGTCTGCTTGATGCTCTCAGATGTTATGGGCATTTGCGATGAAGCACATCTTTTGCTGATATGTTCTCTTTCTTTCTCTCTCTTTCTCTCTAACGCTTTCTTGTAAGCCTTTTGAACTGTCGACTTTGCCTGTCTGTCTGTCTGTGTGTCAATTAATCTGCTCTGTTTTGCCTTTTTAACGCCTCACCCTGTCTGCTGCAGAATGACACAAGTAGGAAAACCATAAACAGGAGCAATAGGGCTTCAGTGACTCTGGTGGATGCCCGTGATCCTAAACCCCAGCCTGTTGACTCCTGGGTCTAATTTGCATGCATGGTAGGTCCTTTTCGCCATACTTGGGGCTTGTGATTAACGTGTCTTGTTTGTTGTGCATGACCTTGCACTGCTGCCGCGTTATCTTCCCTTCCCCGGTTCCTTCTCAGGCAGATAAAAGGCGGCCCTGGCTTGTGAGTGTGTGCCCTTTCCAATCTCTATTTCACACCACACTTTGAAGGAAATGTTGTCATGTGGAGCAAATAATAATCTGTCACAGAAGCACACAGCAGACTCAAGGCTCGGTCAGTGGAGCCTCTTGCCTTTCAAGATGAGGAGCTGCTGAAAATGTCCGGGAGGAGAAGCTGATGAGAAGTCTTCCAGTAGATCCAGGATGCTCTCCGCCAGATTAGTTTACTCCCCCAGAGGGATTAGGACTGCAATTCCCATCTTCTCCAGACTTCATGGCCTTGGAGGTTGTGATGTAATATGCCTGAAGCCCTGGTACAGCTACTTTAAATCTCCTTAATGTGTAACACTTGCCCCATCTGCTCCCACATTACTGTGCACCTTTGAGGAATGCAGGTGCCCAAAGGAAACCCTCCCAAAAGGGAACTTGAAGAAGCCCTCCTTATGAGAGGCAAATGAGTCTCCTGCGGGGTGAGAAGGATGGAATATAAATACTGTAAATAATAAATATATAAATAAATAAATAAATAAATAAATAAATGTTGTCAAATGGCCAGCAGGTGCAGACGAGCCATGTCCTTCCCTCAGGCTGAGCAGTGACTTCCAAAATAAGGCCTCATTTATGAGGCCTTCAAAACTGATGCAGAGGTTTTGAAGGCCTTGTGAATGAGGGCAGCTGGAAAGCCATGCTCCTCTGTCAGGTCAAAGCTAGCGAATGAGCCAGTCTCGGCCTGATGAAGGGATGCAATTGAGTTTACATCCACGATTCTAACGTGACATCGAATCTAATGCACACCAGACGTTTAGCTATGTAATTTGGCCAAAAAAGGTGCAGATTAGAATAAAGTAAATATGGTACATTTTATTTTGGCTTGATATGGGATATTTGCCCTGGGAGAAACAGGTCAGCATTTTGTTCAATAAACAAACCTGTACAGGAGACCATGTCAGTCATTCCGTGATAAGGACAAGTTGTCTTTTCCTTGCTAAGATGTTTGACACCAACTGCTATCTTGTTCCAAACTAACCAGTGCTATGTCTGTGGTAGCCCTGGAAGTAAAATCCACATGGTATCAGCTTATGGAAGAGTAGAAGAAAGATCCTAGGCTTAGTCAAGTCTCCTTTTCTTCACACTCAGTATTGACTTGGCACTGGAATGGAATTTTTGCAGTCAGATTCCGCAGTCTAGATGCAGTTGTGTCAGCAGACTGGACAGCGGGAAAGTTCTTCCTATCTAGGAAGTCTTACAGGCATTATTCAGATGTTTTTAAAAAGTCCATGCAAACATGTCAGGGGAGAGAGAGCATCTCAACAGCAACTGAACAGAACTGTCTGTACTCCAGTAATTCAAACAATATGGCTGTAGATGACCTCCAGTATTGGAGGCAGATAACAAAGGACCTAAATGACCTAAAGACACCAGATCCTGTCTGATCTTGGAAACTAAATGGACCAATAGACTGAAATGGTAATGGCTCCAAACTGCGGCCTGAAGTACTCTGGGGGACTTTGTGGCGACTAGTATGTTGTGTTATCCCTAGTGCTTACCATTCTTGCTCTTGTTCTTAAGAGATTATTTAGACAACAAAACAAATCTGCACAAACATTTGCTTGTTTATGTGTTGGGCTACATTGTGGGCAGTCCTGTTGAACTTATCCCCTAATGCACTGCTTCTTAAACTGTGGGCCCCAACCCTGAATGGGGTCCCCTTAGCTCAGTGTTTAGGCTACGAAAAAAAAATCTTCTGAATGCCTGTTGTTTTAGATATTTACACGAATCTATTGTGGAGTGTTTACAGTGGATGCTGCAGAAGATGCTTCAGCTGTGTTTCATAAAAAGGAAAATTAGCCTTTCAGCAAACCTTGTAAATAGTGGTTTGTTATCAGTATATGTTTGAATTTTGTAGCTGTTTTATATACCTATATATCCGGTGTCACATAAATATTTATTAAGCCAAAAGGGGTCCGAGGTGGAAAAGCTCTGCCCCAATGTCACATCATGTCCAGCAGCTTCCCAGTTTTTCTCTTGTGGGGAGATCTGTAGAGGGCTTTTATGGAGCTCCTGGGATGAGAAACCTTCCAGATCACAACTGTGTTCCACTGAATAAAGTAACAGAACTTTACAGAGCTTTGCCCTCAGCACATGAAAACCTGGGATGTTTCTGGAGGTGCAGTGATGCTTCAGGATGGAGTTTTCACACCTCTGGCACCCGTTCATGTAGAGAAGGTACGGTTGAAATATCTACCCTGATTTACACAACTTTTTTAAAAAAGGAGAAAAATACACTGACAGAGCCAACTTGAAACAATTTGGCTTTTGGAAACATCAGAATGCCCCCACATCTTCCCCATTCAGTATTCAGAGGATGATTGGATGACCAGTTGGGTGGTGGCAATGGGTGGTGCCAATGGGATGGCATCCTTTTCCAAACTTGAGAGCATTAGTCCAGTTTATGAAGACCAGGACAAGCCAAGTCAACAGTGCCATGCCAAGAGAGGACAATGGTTGGGGCACAAAACAGCAACAACCAAGGGGTCGGCCTTCCCTAGCAGCTGCCACCTGAGGCCAGTGTCTTGCCATGCCCAATTCTAGCTACCAAGGAAAACGCAGAAATACCATAGTTCTTCAATTGTAAGATGCCATTGATTGTAAGATGCACCCTAATTTCAGCATCAACAAAAAGATGTAAGATATCCTTGCGATTCAAAGACACACTCCATTTTGGAGATGTTTATCTAGGCTGAAAAGTGTCTTAGGATTGAAGAAATACTGTAGAAAAGAGTGAGGATGGAGAGAGAAGGTCAGGGAGGGGGAAAACCAGACAAACAAAATGTTCAAAAGGAAGAGAAGAAACCCGGGGTGGAAAAGGGAGAAATCTCACCTGGCAAGGAGGAGGATAGGGAAGAGCCCAATGATCCTTTTCAAACATGTTCTTTGTTTTGGGGGGGACGTGGTCTGCCCAAAACAGCAAAATCTTCTTCTCTGATCCCATTCTTGGGAATAACTGGCTTTGACTCTTCTCTTCCAGGGCTAAGGTCCAGCTGCTTGTTTTATTCTTCTTATTTTTTTCCTCAACTTCAACGAAGACTCAACTCACACAGGATCTCATTCAACCATCACTGCCATTCAGATTCAGAGGGCCTTGACATTTTGCATCGATGGAAGCCACCGGGCGGCAGATCTCTATGCAGGCGGGGGACCAGGGGCCGGGGGACCGAAGCATCAGCTGGTCCTGGAGCGGCATCCTTAGAGTAGGGACTCTTCTGCCTTGGGAGGACCGACCAGATTCCCACCCACCTCCCTCTGCCCTTTCCACTTCCCATCGGAGGATTCGGAAAGACAAGCTTACGTCAAACGAACGGTTCCTGTTCTGAGCCGACTCTTCTATGCGGATGTTGCCAAGTTAGGGGATGAAGGTCATGAGATGGGGAAGAGGAAGTCGAAGAAGACAAAGACGTCATGTGTGAAAGAAGAAGGAAAAAAAACCCCTACCGATACTCCAAGTATACTTTTGGTACGGTCATTTAAACTAGCACTTTTTCCTCCCCTCCCTCCCCCCTTCCCCCGCCTTTTGAACTGTGAATTTTTCAAGGAAAAAAAATGGCAATGATAATACTTTCTTTTTTTTTCTTTTTTGTGGCCTATTGTGGAGGTTTTATTCTTTGATCTATGGGAAACGTAGAACTGTTGAGCTGAGTTTGATGGATTTTGATGAAAGGAGGAAAAAAGAAAAAAAACATAATCTTGGTTGACTGACTTGGAAAAAAAGGTGGAAGATGGAATTGACGTGGGCTGTATAATCTGCTTTTGAAGTAAGCGATACCACACTGTGCTCTCTCTATATTGTCATTGGTGTACAATTCATCTGCCTTTTGACTTCTGTAATGGCTCGTTTCTATTTCCAAACATATACAATGCTTTCTTTGAGGTTTTGCTGTCCTCGTTCAGAAAAAGAGAAGAAAAAGAAAACCTCAAACTCGATCCAGTTGACTTTTGTTGTTAGCAGTGTTCATAACAAGTGCGCCTTTTGATTTTTCAACCTGTTGATGTTGGGTTGATAGTGATTTAATGGTCAGCATCATAGGCTTCCCCCCACCCTGCTCCCATAGATAGCAACAGCTTTCAATTCAAGTGGGATCTTCCTCACAAGGAAGATATGCGTCGGATGCGGCACAAACCTCAGGTGTATCTGTTGGTTTTGCTGGTTGAAAAAAAAGAGGGAAAACCCCAACCTACTACTGGATCCCATCTGTGATCTTTGGATACGCTTTCAGTAGACCACTTTAAAGGGAACTGTCATCTTTCTTACTTACTTCCTTTCTCTTTTTTAAAGCCACCAGTTTGTGGATAGCTTAGAATAGGGATGGCAATTACACAGCCTTCCAAAGACTGTTGGACTGCAAAGCCCAGAATTCCTGTTGGGAGTTGCAGTCCAGTAACATTGGGAGGGCCACATGATTCCCATCCCTAGTTTAGGATGCAATCCTATATGCCTTTATCTGGAAGTAAGTCCCAGAACTTCACTTCCACGTAAACATGCTTAGGATTCTACTTTTAGCCTGTAATTTGGGTTGTAGGTGTCCTATTTATATGGCATCCTATTTATGTGCAAAGCCTTATCTAAGATTTCTCGTTGTCGTATGGGTTTAGAGCAAGATGTTTGCCATTGGTGCATATAACCATATCCCCATATACTGTATACAGTAATGCTTTGTGCTTTAACCGCATTAATTTCTTCGGGGTTTCTAGACAGAAAATGCAAGCAGGACTCTAAATTTCTAATTCAACTGACATTTGCGCTCTCGCTCTCTCTCTCATTTGGTCAAGTTAGTTGGTTGCCATATTAAACTGTGTGATTGGAAAGCACATTCTTTTGTCAAAATCCAGCAAATTTAATTTGGGGGAATCTCAGTGCCTGCTCTTTCCTTTGTGATTTAAAATGAAGCGGGGTTGGGGGGGTGGGTCGGGGTGGAGGCGGGGCGGGGAGAGAATAAACAGAACAAAACGAAATTACTGTACTAGTTCAGCATCTAACTTTTTTGTAAAAAAATAAAATAAAAATACGTTTAAAAAAAAGGAGACAAGACAAAAAGCAAGCATCGAGAGCTCTGTGTCGTCTGGAATATAAAGAAAATAAAATTCGACATGAATTACATATATAAATATATATCTATATCTATATATTGTTGTGCAGAAAATAGGTTGCCAAAACCACGTGAGTCACGTTTTGTAGCAGGAAAGCGTTTTTGCAACGATTCAGGGAAAGACTGGTGCCAGAAGCTCTTTTTGGCAACTTGAATGGTACAGACACAAACATATATCAACAGTGGCCACCCCATCCTACCCGCCACTTTCCCCAACCCATCTCAGCTGCGCAAAGCAGGGGTCACCCTGGGGGTCTTTCCAGAAAGCGTGGTGCTTGGGAGTAAAGGGCAGGTTGCCAAGACCCAGAGCAGAGAGAGACTGAGTGGGCCAAAGATCTCTTGATAGGCCAAAGAACAAAGAAAGTGATCTCTCTGGATTCCCCCAGAGACCCTCGTTGCCCCCCCCCCCCCGCGGCTGAAAGTGGAAACGGCTGGTGCGGGACCCCATTTTTTCCCACCTGTAACAATGGTGCTCTTTTCATACTTCTACTCTTGATAAGCGAAGAGCCTTTTGACTGGGCTGTACATTTTTATACCATCTTGATGACTCTTGCATATTTCTCTTTCTCTCACTCGCTCTCTGCTTTTAGTATACAAAGGGAATTCTGTTTCATTTCATTGTCGTTTTTTAAAAAAACTTTTGTGCAATTTGTGGGTAATTGAGTCTGCTCCATAGTTTGCTATCAAGGCCCTATAGAGCAGGGCTGGGGAGTTTTAGTTTATGAAGTCGGCTTTGGCTTTACTGGGAGTCCAGTCTCTTCCAGTCTGGTTGCCCACTTGCCCATGCCCTCCTTACCCATGATGTGGCCTCTCCCTGCTTTTCTCTGGGAATTGACCCCATTCTGAAGGTTGAAATGCCTCCCCTAAAGTTGAGTTGTTGGCACTAGGAGCTTTGAATTGATTTTTGTGGCCCAACCCTTTGAACCCACTCCACCACTGGTATGAACACCACCAAAATTACATTCAACTCTTAATTGTAAAGTCCGGTGTATATGCTTTATAGTAATGATCTCCATCACCAAGACCTTGGTCCATCCCTGCCTTTTAATCTGTGTTATGTAGAAAGGACTGCAGAGGCAGGGTCATCTCCTGATGCAGCTTGGTGGTATCTCTGATGGACACAAGACTTCTTTTTGTCATGGAACATCTCACAGAGGAGCTATTGTACAATTTTTTGTAGCAAGGAGATGACTCAAATTGTGGTCTTCACTGTATGAATATTCAAGTGGCCTGAGGAGGTGAATCGATAGGAGAAAATGCCAGGGAAGAAATTGCGGGGTTGGGTTTCCAATACTAGGGATGCACATATACTGAAGGTAGCAATGGGGAGATTCATTGCATAGTTCTGCAGGTTTGCTGTTGTCCAACATGCCAAGTGGGTTGAAGGCTCAACTCGAGTCTCACTGGTCAGTGAGGGTGTCAGGTCTGTCCATTTTGACCAATTAGTGATAGCACATTGCAGGAGATACTATGTGCTGTGAGCAAACAGTGTGCGCCCTTCCTTTCTGTACATTCTTGGTTTCAGCCACCACATTTGGCTTTTGAATTGTTTCCTTGATTTGTCATACAGGTTAGTTGTACCCCGGCAAGACCATTTTATTTGTCCTCTAAGGTCGCTGGAACAGGCCACCACATAATCCTCAGAAATGTGCAAACTATTGCCTAGGAAGTGGCTCATGTGGCGATTGACTATTGGTCAGGCCAATCCGGTGCTGCCATCTTGGACTTTTGTGACGATTTGCTCATGTCTTCAGATATTTGCAAATGTTGTGAGTAGTTAGATGCACATGAGATGCTGCCTTGAGTGGCCCTCCAGAGGCCTTTTCACTCGCAGAAGTATCTACATGTCTGCCTCCCATGGCATCTTGGGGTCCATTGTTTGGCTAAAGCTAGTGGAATCATACTGTTATATTTGTGTAGTGTGAAAGGTCTCTTTTCTATACTTTGCAGTCTCTCTTTTGTGAGCAGGCTTTCCCTCACTCTCTCCCACTCAAAGTGAGAATTGTGTCTTTGGGAAGGTTGAGGAACTTCAGTTCTTGGGATAGATCAGGCCTCCTGGAGTCCTGATCCAGCAATCTGAGGTTTGCATAACACCATTCTTGGGTGGATTCCTAGATTTTGTATTATTCCAAAGGATTGTAGTACTTTTCCAAAGGCTCTACTCCATAATTCTAGTCCTACAGATAATTTTTCTGGAAAATAATATGTTCCTTGGGCTGAAAGAGTGTCTGAGCTGTTCCAGGATTCTTTTGAGCTGGTTTGAAATTTCTTTTTTCAGGTATTTTCTAAGTTTCCCAGCTTGGAGGCAAGAGCCGATCCCAAGTGCTTTGAGCAAACATGGTACTCATGTAGACTGAATCAGAAATCGAAATGGTCTGACCAGGGTGATGAATTCTAACCGAAGTGTAAGATGTTTGGGTGGGTTAGTCAACGCTGCCAAATGGTCTTGGTGTAGGAAAGTAGTGCACAACCTGTGGCCCTCTAGGTGTTTTGGACTACAACTCCCAGCATTCCTGACCATTGCACAAGCTGGCTGGGGCTTCTGGGAGTTGTATTCCCAAATATCTGGAGGGCCACAAGTTGTGCACCACTGATGTAGGAGATCTGCTCTTCTTACTAGGGACCAAGACAGCTGCTAAGATTGCTTCCTTCCCGCCACTCCCTTGCTTTTGTGTGTGTGTGTGTTCGTTCCTGCTTGTCCTGTTATGGCATTTTGGTGTATCAGAGCTTTTTGTTGCTTCATCTCAGTGATATTCATAGGTCATGAGACTTGGACTGACCAAGAGGAAATCCTGGCGACATGTGCCAGGAGTTTCTGCAACTTCTATTGCTAGGATTTCACTCTGCTTGTCTGTAGCAATAAGTAGATAATCTGTGTAAGTTTCTTAGCTAGCGCTCCTGGGGAGTTGCTCGTACGTACTTTTCCATGGGCAATGACAGAAAATGCAGCCCTTTTTACTAACCCTTTAATCATGAATGCTGGCTGTGATTACCTTTTTTTATAAAAGAATGTCTAAATTCAGCAACACTATATATCTCCACTTTTTATAAAACCTTGTGACCATCAACAGGATATGGCTATGTCCATTGTGGCCTGGATTGACTTTGGGCCTTCTTCAGCAATTCTTCTCATCCGATGGTGAAATCTACCATCAATGTGACTTTTCGAAGGGCAGCTCTACTTTGGCATTTTTATTCCCCATAGGCTGGTCTGTGGTGGGCATATCTCAGGTTTGTGGAGGTCTTCTTAACTAGGTGACCCAATTGTATCCCTCCAGGTGTGGTGGAGCTGCAGTTCCCACAATTCCTCAGCAGCGGGACTGAGTTCAACCATCTCCGGAGTGCCAGATGTTGCCCTCCTCTGCCACCAACTGGGGACATCTGCTTGCATAGTGGGGATTTGATAGGCATTTAGATGTTCGTGTTTCACCCCAAAATTAATTTTCACCACCAGAATGGAGCTCAAAGCTTGTCCATGCAGAACACCATTCTTAGATTTCCCTTTGTTTTCTCAGTTTCAATGACCAAAAAGAGAGAGACAGAAAATGTTTAATCATTGCGATTTAATAGGTGGAAGCCAGAAATTCTTGTTGATTTATTGCAAGTCACCTAGAGATCTACCAGCAAATCCAGATCTGCCTTTTACCCACCCCTGGTGTTGTCGGTAGTGATCCCTGCTTGATCCATGTAACCGACATGGATCAGAATAGGCAGAAAATGTATGTAATTGTTGAAGATTGATCCCATTCTGAGAAAGGAGTGAGAACAGGCATAAAGTGTAGGGTTTTGGGCGATTTTCAAAGGAAGGAGTGGCGAAAGAGTCAATCAGGGATAGGAAAGTGTTACTGATCCTCAGTAGAAGTGGATTTACCTTTCGAGTTGAGGTTACGTCTGTCTTATATCAGAGTTCATATTCATATAGAACAGGCATGGGCAAACTTTTGCCCTTCAGGTGTTTTGGATTCTTCATCAATCTTCTGCAACATAGAAATTGTTATTTTGGAAGCTGAAATTTCATTGTATTCTAAAAATATTGACAAGCAACCTTTCATTTAACAATAACTGAATTACTATTCCTGATGTCATGAACTAATGAAGAATCTCCTGGAATACAGAAATTGTCATTTTGGAAGCTAAAGTTTCATTATGTTTACAGAATATTGACAAGCAACCTTTCAGTTATAAATAATTACGAACAGTTGTGTTAGTGTTCCCACGTTACTTTCAATGAAGAATTTCCTGTAATATAGAAATTGTGATTTGCAATCTGCAGTTTTTTGTGTTTGTTGTTATAGATATCTGTGCATGTTACACCTTTCCTTTCCCCCTCAGCCACTTAAGAGAGGGACCCGAGACTATAAGGAATTGTGGGAGTTGAAGTCCAAAACACCTGGAGGGCCCAAGTTTGCCCATGCTTGATATAGAACATGCTATGCAGTATACCATTCTGGATAGTACATGCCAGGGCTTCTAAACCTTTTCCATTTGGGACCCCTTTTTACCTGAGAGATTTTTACGTGACTCCAGATATATTAGTATATCAATCCTATATAACAGTGGTTCTCAAACTTGCTAATGCCGTGACCCCTTAATGCAGTTCCATATGTTGTGGTGACCCCCAACCATAATATTGTTTTCGTTGCTACTTCATAACAGTCATTTTAGTACGGTTATAAATCGCAATGTAAATATCCGATATGCGGGATATATTTTCATTCACTGGAATAAATTGAGCACAAATACCCAATATGCCCAAATGTGAATGCTAGTGGGATTGGGGGAGAGGATTGATTTTGTAATTTGGGAGTTGTAGTTGCTGGGATTTATAGTTCATCTATAATCAAAAAGCATTCTGAACTCCACCAGCGATGGATTTAAACCGAACTTGGCACAAAGAACTCCCATGACCAACAGAAAACACTGGAAGGGTTT